CCCCCCCCCCAATCCACTGTCATTAAGTTGATTTTGACCCAGCCACTTTGTAGGATGGAATAGAAATGTCCCCATGAATGTAGTCCTTACAGGAGCGGATGGCCCTGTTTTGTTCCTTCGGGGTGGCTGGTGGGTTAGAAATGCCGACCTTTCAGCTAGCAGCTCTGTGGCCACCAGGACTTCTGTCAAAATAGCCTTGATAATTTGCTGGCAAACTTTAACGAGGGGTACTCTTGTTTTCCACTGGGAGAGTCCAGGATGGACATGGACCGGCTTTCTGGGCGAAGAGACCAGCCTGTGGTGGCTGGAGTGGGACAGACAGGGCATGGGGCTGGGAATGAAGGCAGGAGGTGAAGCCAGGAACCGGGTGCTCTGGAATGTCAGCGTGGAGAGTGGGCACTGACGGACGGCAGGACTGGGGAGGAGAGGAGTGGGGTGTCTCAGCCGCATGCATTTGCTTGGACATGCAGGGCTGATGTAGCTCAGCCCTGATGGAGAGGGGAGACCCGACACCAGAAACTTGGAGCCTGCAAGAAAGAGTGACTGGTGCCAGAGTGTCGAGCTAAGGGGTGGGGGGACATGTTCGGCTGGACGCCATGCCAAAAGTAGGTTGATCTTAGTCTTTTTCTTTTCCTGAATGAGGGTCAGGAACACTGAGGTCACCAGAAGCCACCAGGCTGCAGCAGCGTCAGGACCCTGGACAGACTTGTCTACTCTCAGTCTTGCTTTTGGAACAGGACAAACTGGGAATACCCAAAAGAGGTCCCTGGTGCAAGCCGACAGGGGTCTATGCCACCTGCTGTGTGCTGCGGGCATTTTCCCCTGCTGTCCGCTTTACAGAAGACAAATCTGCCAGTTTGGAGCTGAGGAAGAGCGAGCCCAGAAGCAGAGCTGACCACGTGAATGTGTGCTTCCCCGCACTGTCCATACTGGCTACTGGCAGAGAAACTTGCACTTGGCTTGTGCCTACGCACGTCCTTCTCCTCTGCTCCTACAAACGCATACTCTACCTCTTACCCCTCAACTGGAAAACTGGGGCCGATGCTGCTGGTTTGGGGGTGGACAGGATCCTACCAAACCTCTCTGACCTCTCCAAGTGTCCGAGTGATAGCTTGAGCTTGCCAGACTTCCCTGACCACTTCATTCATGACTCACTTCACATGGAAACAGGCTGATAAATGAAGTGAGGGTAAGGGAGAGGGCCCGTAGGTCTGGACACACCCTGGGTTGGTGTCCTGCGGGACGGGGGTGTCCCTGGGCCGATGTCCCCCGTGCAGGCCAGGCCGGTGTACTCACCGCCGCCAGGGGTCGTCGCACTAACATCCCAGGCCGCTCATGGAGCCGATCCGGTCCAGCTTGAGGCCGAAGCAGCCCTTGGACAAGCCCTTCTTGTTGCCTCCTTTGTATTTGCGCGCGTTGGGGTGCTCGTGCAGGCGAGCCCACGCAGCCCGCGACTTGGTGTCCATGCGGAGGTCCCGGAGCAGCCGCGACCGGTCCCCCTTGAGGTTGGCGCCGCCGGCAGCCTTGTCGCCCTTCTTCTGAGCGCCGCCCGCAGCCTGGGGCTCGGTGGTCCCCTCCCCGGGGGCGCGCTGGACCTGTGTGCGGAGAAGAGGGCAGGTGAAGGGACGCGCCGCGACAGGGGGGCAGCCACGCGCAGCCGCCCGCGCGCCGCGTCACGTGCGATGCCGGGCAGGTCGGCTCCGCATCCACCTGCCACGCAGCCGCGGCTGTCCACCCTCTGGGGACACGCTGCCCTCCTCTCCTTAGCCTCTGGCCCGCTGGACACACAGAGGCTGGGGCTGTGCCTCTGCCGAAGTCTCCGGGGCCGGGAAGTCTACCCCGAGCCTGCGCTTCGAGGGCACCCGCTTCTCGGCGCGCACAGCTCGGGGAAGGGGCACAGAGCCGCCTTCTCCGTGTCCCCCTGCGCGCCCTGCGCAGGCCCGGCGTCCCCGCGCCAGCACCCACCTTCGGCTGAGCCCCGGGTTTAGCGTCGGAGGACCGGAGCGAGAGCAGAGTGAGCAGCAGGACGCAGACCAGCAGCTGGGAGAGGTGCATGGTGCTGGCGGAGCAGAGGGCGCACGGGGCCAGCGGGTGCAGAGCGGCGGGCGGGCTGCAGGCTGCGCGCGGGCGCTGGTCCCGATGCTGCGCTGCGCCGGCTGGGTGCGCTCTGAGCTCGCGGCTGCGCTCCCGCCTTTATAATCCAACCTGCCGCTGATGTCATCCGCCCGCCCACCCGGCCGCCCCGGCCAATGGCACGGTGCACAGAGCCCGGCTGGCCCGGAGGGGGCCCGCGGGGGCTCCTCCTTCCCCGCCACCTTCATCCATGCCCCCAAGGACCCCAGGCTCGCCGACTCGCTCCCTGCACCACTGAGTCGCACCACTTGCTGCACTTGCGCCCCGGCGTGCTGGGCCCTGTGCTCCCCGGCCCAACGCCTCCTCGTCGCCCGAGCTCCACTTTCTCTTCGTGCAGGTGCAGGGACGGGCTCTGAGGAAGCATGCCACTTGCCCAAAGTCACATAGTAAGAAAGTTGGTAGAGTCTGAAATCCAGGCAGGCCCTCCTTGTGGTCCAACTTGTTGCACCTGGCTCCGGTGAACAGGGACTTCAGTTCCACTTTCTGTCTGCTGGTTCCGAGCACTCTGGCTATACCGAGGTCGCTGGGTAGGGGGGTGGAGGTGGAGAGCAGAGGACCCGCGGAGGTCCGGGCTGGGGACACGGGCAGAGAGGGCTTTATTGGGGCCGCAGGGGGGAGCGCCAGACTTCTGCATGGAGAGCGCAAACTGCACCACTGTGTGCAAACCTTGCACTTGTGTGTGAGACACAGAAAGGTCTGCAAAGGCAAGTGGGAGGTACAGTGCCATGCGGGTGGGCAATGCGTGTCTTGTGTCCCCGGGGTGGCTCCAAGCTCCCGTTCAGGTTACCCACACAGAACGTCCCCAGGGCAGAGCTGGCGCGTGGGTTGTTTGTGTGAACCCTGCCTGCTCTCGGGTAGGAGCCCGGAGGGTGGGGATGTCTCAGGGTGTCCTGTGTGCCTGTACAGGCTGAGAGGAAACACCAGGCCTTGCGTGGCCTCTGTGAGCTGGGACAGGCCACCTTTGTATTTGAGACAGCCACCACTCTCCCTGGGCAAGAGCCTAGAGCCTTCGAAGTATCTCAAAATGTCAGTAGAAGTAGGGGGTCCCTGTAGCCCCCAAATTATGTGAAATGCAGTAATTTATGGTTTTGTTATCTGGAGGAGGACTCAAGGAAGAATAAATGCAGTGGCTCGTGCCAGGGACCTGGGGACAATACCCAGGTGTGAAGACCATTGTAGGGTTCTTTGGAAGCTGAATGTCCTTTTCCAGAGGAGAAGGGAGACCTGCATCAGGACAGCGCTGTTGTGGCTGGGAGCCAGGGAAGCAGCGGCCTGGCTCACCTCTTCCCCCTTGAGTGGGACACTCCAGACATACAAGGCCCTATGTCCCTGTGTTAGCAAATAACATTAGCTTTGAGGCTGGGTTTGGAGCCACAGGGCTCACAGATATCCAGGAGGATCCAGACACCAACAGGCCGTCCTGTGTGGGTATGGACCTTGCCTCACCACTTCCAAGCAGACGGCCCTGATTGCCTCTCCACCTAATGCCCACTGAGTGGCAGCACTCTTTCATTTGAGGAGAAAGGAAAGGGTGTGAGAAAGGGGTGAGGAGGGAGCTTGGGTTATGCTCTGTAGGTTCCCCCCTTCTGTTTCCTGTACAAAGGACTTTCACAGTCAGAACCCCTCTGAGCCTTGCTTTGTTGATAGCAGCTTGAAGGGCCAGCTGTTCATTCCAGAATCAGGACTAAAGTGTTTCCTCAACTGAGGACAGAAAGGTGCCCATGGGCACCTCCTTCTACTTGACCGTCTTTCTGATTAAAAAAAATTAAAAAATTGTTGGTTTGCATATAATCATCCCATACACCATATTTTGTGTTTGTGGGGTTTATACAATTTTACATTTTTATGGAGATTTGTACTGTATACAATCATTCACATACATTGTGTCTCATTTGTGTACATTATGTTTTATACAAGCATTCATATGCATTGTTGTTGTTAATGTGCCGGGAGTTGCCTGCGACCCATAGTGACCCTGTGTACAACAGCTCTGAAGCCTGCCCTGTCCTGAGCCAGTCTCACTCACTCTGACACACCATCCCACATTGCCTCAGTCACTGAGTTCATCCATCTCATCTGGGGTCTTCCTCTCCTGTGCTCTCTCTCCACACTCCCAAACATGATGTCCTTCTCCGAGGACTTGTTTCTCCTGGTCATGTACCCAAAGCTATGCCTACTATTGGGAGCTCTGGTGGTTTAGTGGTAAGGAGTTGTTCTGGCAACCCAAAGGTATTCAGTTCAAATCTACCAGTTGCTCTGAGGGAGAAAGGTGGGCACTCTTCTCCGATGGGACTAACTGCCCCTGAGAACCTGCTGCAGGGTCAGTTATGGGGCAGTCGACTCTGATGTACAGAAGCAGCAGCAGCAACAACCTGCCTATTACCACCTTTTCAAGTCCCCACTGAACCATTCCCATCCATTCACTCCCCTCACCAACCTCTGCTATCCCAGTGCTTCTCCCCCCTTCTGCTTTTTCTGTGCCCCCCTCCTCTTCCCCCTTTGAAAATTTTTTGCTCAGTTATTCTCCTGCCTTCATGATAGTGGTCTTATGCAGCATTTGTCCTTATAAGACTGAGTTAGTTCACTCAACATAATGCTCTAGACTGTCCCATGTTATATAGTATTTTACAAAAATCACTGTTCCTTACTGGTGCATAGTATTCCATGGTGTGGATGTGCCACAATTTCTCAGTCCGTTCATTTGTTGATGGGCATCTGACTGCTCTTCCTGTCTTCCATGTTTCCTGGATGCACTTGGAAGGGAACTTCTGAGTTTCTAGGTCTTACCTCTCTGAGGGGCCATTCATACACCCAAGCCCTCACCCACCCAGTGAGGGTAGAGAGAGCAACCTGAAAAGGCCACTTCCTCCTCTTTTTGGAAGGAGATCATTGAGAAAGGTCCTACTTAAGGTCCAGAGCTAACTAAGGCAGGAGGTCCCCAGAGTCAGCTGGAGAGGGTCAGGGAAGGAGAAGTGTGTACACTGGAGGACAGTCAGGGTAGGAGACGGACCTCCTGGGCCAAGCTGGAGGGCAGTCAGGGTAGGAGAGATGTGCAAACTGGAGGTCCCTTCAGGGCCAGATATGACTAGAACGTGGTTGACTTACAGGCTGAGGTGGAGACTTCGAGGTTGTGCCAGCCAAAGACAATTCTCGTTTCCTCATAAAGGGGAGCTGCAGAGGTGAGTCTTTCTCCCTTCTGGGCCTAGCATTTCCCTGTTGCTTTTCCTTCGTGGGGTTATAAGAAGAATTTGGCTGGGAGAACTGGAAGCACTATGAAGTCATGCATGAGCTGCTGTTATTGTGGTTAGGTGCCATCAGACACGATGTCCTTCTTCAGGGACTGCCTCTCCCCTGACCACATGTACGGAGCCTGGGATGGGGAGCATCCTTAGATTTTTACAAGGCTGTATGTCTTCCAAGACCAATTTGTTTGTCCTTTCAGTCGTCTGTGGCACAGTCAGTATTCTGAATCAACACCACAATTCAAAGGCACCAATCCTTCCTGCATCTGTTAGTTGAAACATGCCAATTGGTATCCCACTGATTCCTGGGGCCTTATTTTTTGCCAATGCCTTCAGCTGCACATTAGCAGGCACTTCTGCCTTTATTACCATTGGCTCTTGTTCATATGTTAAGTGCTAATTATTAGTGGACGTTTGCAGCTGTTCTTTCTCATTTTGCGAGCCTTCCAATCTGAGGGCTCTACCTCCAGTGTATCTGTGTAGTATTATGTAACTGTTCATAGGTTTTAGAAGGCCTGTTATTTCCTAAGTGGTTGGCCAGTCTTTCGTCCTCATCTTTTGTAATCAGGGAGCTCTGCTTTAGTCCAGCATTTGGCAGACAAGGACTGCACCCATGAGAGTGGATGATGAATAAGCAAACATATAGATACCTGGAGGCAAGGATTCTGAGGCTCCGTCTAACATACTTTGGACATGTTGTGAGGAGAGACCGGTCCTTGGAGAGGGACATCATGCTTGGGAGGGTGGACGGACAGCGCAGGAGAGGAAGGCCTTCTATGAGGTGGATTGATTCAGTGACTAGGGTAATTGGGATGGGAGTGTCAGAGACAGTGCGATTGGCACAGGATAGAGCAGAGTTTAGGGCCGTTGTACATAGGGTCGCTATGAGTCACAAGCAACTAGACGGCACATAACAACAACAACATAGATACCTGAGCTATTATTAGCAGCAAGATGCAAAGCACGGTCCCAATACAAGCGACTGACAGACAAGTGATTATACCCCTAAGATCAAACCCTAAGTAAAAGCAAACATACTGATGTCTTTGTCAAGTGGCAGGGGTCCTTCCATTAGACTGAGGCACAAGGTCAGGAAGGTCTGGGGCCTTGGTGCACGCTGGTGTCAGTCTCTCCCTGGGCAAGGTGCTGGCTCATCAATCTGTGTCAAGAAATTTGAAGGACAGCTATCTGGTCTACTGACTAGAAGAGATCCATATTTGTTTATGTTCCCAAGAAAGGTGGCCCAACAGAATGTGGAAATTATTAAACAATAGCATTAATATCATGTGCAAGCAAAATATTGTTGAAGATTAGTCAAAAACAGCTAGGACAGCACATTGACAGAGAACTGCCAGAAGTTCAAGTTGGGTTTAGAAGAGGCTGTGGCACCAAGTATCATTGCTGATGTCAGCTGAAAGCAGAGAATATTAGAAGAATGTCTATTTGTGATTTATTGATTATGTAAAGGCATTTGGATAACCTTCAGTAGAATCTTGCTTGCATCTGAAATCAATGATATTGTTCTATAGTTTCCACGCTCTGTTGGGTCACCCTTCTTTGGAATGAGAACAAATATAGATCTCTTCCAGTCAGTTGGCCAAGTGGTTGTTTTCCAGATTTCTTGGCACAACTTGGTGAGCATGTCCAGGGCAGCATCTGTTAGCTGAAATACGTCAATTGGTATACCGTCTATTCCTGGGGGCTTGTTTTTTCCTATTTCCTTCAAAGCAGCTTGAACTTCTTCCTTCATCACTGTAAGATCTTTCTCATATGTTATTTAATGAAATTCTTCTGTGTCTGCAAATCCTTTCGATACAGTGGGTTTAGAAGGGGTCATGGTTCTAGGGATATTGTAGCTGATGTTAGATGGATCTTGGCTGAAAGCAGGGAATACCAGAGGAATGTATACCTGTGTTTCATTGACTATGCAAAGGCATTTGACTGTGTAGATCATAACAAACTGTGGCTGACTCTGAGAAGAATGGGAATCCCAGAACATTTAATCGTGCTAATGCAAAACCTATACTTGGACCAAGAGGCAGTCGTCAGAACAGAGCAGGGAAACACTGCATGGTTCAAAATTGGGAAAGGTGTACGCCAGGGATGTGTCCTATCTCCATACCTTTTCAACCTGTATGCAGAACAGATTATCCGGGAGGCTGGGCTCTATGAGGAGAAGTGTGGCATCAGGATTGGTGGAAGATCTATTAACAATCTGCGTTATGCAGATGACACAACCGTGCTTGCTGAAACTGAGGAGGACCTGAAATGCTTGCTGCAGAGGGTCAAGGACTGCAGCCTCCAATATGGATTGAGGCTCAATGTCAAGAAGACAAAGATTCTCACCACTGGACCAATTGGCAGCGTCAGGATGGATGGTGAAGAGATTGAGATTGTTAACAACTTTAGTCTGCTTGGCTCGACGGTCAACATTCTTGGCACCAGTAGCCAAGAAATCAAAAAACGTATTGTGATGGGAAAGTCTGCTATTAGGGACCTCTCCAGGGTACTGAAGAGCAATGGTGTCACTCTGGAGACTAAGGTGCATCTGATACAGGCTATGGTCTTTGCAATTACTTGTAATGCATTGGAGAGTTGGACAGTGACTAGGGAGGATAGAAGGAGAATTGATGCCTTTGAGCTGTGGTGCTGGAGAAGAGTACTAAATATACCATGGACTGCCAAGAAAACAAACAGATTCATCCTGGAGAGGGTTAAACCAGGCTGCTCCTTGGAGGCAAGGATTCTGGGGCTTTGTCTGACATACTTTGGACATGTTGTACGGAGGGACAGGTCCTTGGAGAGGGACATCATGCTTGGGAGGGTGGAGGGACGGCGTAGGAGGGGAAGACCCTCTATGAGGTGGATTGATTCAGTGACTGGGGTAATCGGGATGGGTGTGTCAGAGGCAGTGCAACTGGCACAAGATAGAGCAGGGTTTAGGGCTGTTGTACATAGGGTCACTATGAGTCGTAAGCGATTGGACGGCACATAACAACAACAACAACAACAACAACAGCAAAGGCATTTGACTATATGGTTCATAATAAATTATGGCGAACATTGAGAAGAATGGAAATCCCAGACACTTAACTGTGCTCATATGAAACCTATATCTAGACCAAGAAGCTCTTGTCCTGTCACAACAGGGAATACATAATGATTTAAAATCAAGAAAGAAATACAACAGCAAAGTATTATTTTTCTGTAGTTACTCAATCTGTACCCTGAGCTAATAGTTCAAGAAACTGTACTATATGAAGAAGACTAGCACATCAGGATTGGTGGAAGGTCCCCGACAACCTGAGTTGTGCAGATAAACACAGCCTTGTTTCCAGAAAGTGAAGAAGACTTAACACGTTGCTGCAAATGATGGCAATACATTAGAAAAAAAAGTGTTTCTAAGCACAGTCGTCAATTTAAAAGTGTGTGGCAACGTGTTAAAGCATTTACTGCCGAAGATAAAGACCACAACCGTCAATACATATTATCGCTCAACCAAAAGAAAATAAAAATCCTCACCACTGGACCAATACGCAGCATCACGATAGACGGGGAGAAGATTGAAGTTGTCAGTGACTTCGTTTTGCTTGGATCCACAATCATCGTCCATGGCTGCAGCAGTCAAGAAATCAGAAGACGTGCTGCGTTGGGAAACTCTGCTGTCAAGGACGTCTCCACAGTGTTAAGGAGCAAGGAGGTCGGTTTAAAGGACTGGTGTGCCCGACACAAGCCGTGGTATTTTCCTGGGTGGTTCCTGTGCATCTGAAAGTTGGACAACAAACACAGATGAAAAGGAAGAGCGTATGTTTTTGAATTGTGGTGTTGAAGAGTTCCAAGAATTCCATGAACTGCCAAAAGAATAAGCAAATAATGTGTCCAAGAGAATGTAAACATGGGTCCTCCTTGGCTGGAAGGATACTGAAACTTAGTCTCACATACTTGGGGCATGTTGTCTGGAGTTTCAGGTCTTTGGAAACAGACATCAGGCTGGGAAAGGTAGAAGGTCAGAGATCGAGGAAGATCTTCAACAAGATAGATTGACACAGAGGCTAACAATGTGGTGGAGATGTTGAGGACAGAACTTTTGGTCAAAGTTCAGATGTCTGGTTAAAGGGCCTGCTATGACCTGCAGTTGACTCAATGGCACTTAACAACAACCACAACCACAACCACCACCACCCAGGACCTCTGTGAGACCCCAAGAGAAAGGAAACCAGCATTCTGGCCACATCCTGGGACAGGGGAGGTTCACAGCCTGGGGAGAGGCCTTGTCCTCCGGTCCCTCGGTGACATGCTGGAAGCAGGAGGCATGCCAGCAGATGGGGTGTTGTCTTCTGGGCGCAGCCTTTCGCTGGTGGGGTGAGGCAGCAAGATTGCCTGTTGAGGGAGAAGAGGAGATGAAGAGAAAGGGAGAGTTGCAGAGTTGCGGGGGGCGGGGGGCGTTGGAGGAGGATGGCAGGAGGGAAGAAGGGCAGAGAGACAGATGTGTGTGTGGCCCAGGTCTAGGGTGTTGTGTCACTTGGCTGGGACCTTCATGTGCTCCTGGTCTCTGAAGGATGGGGACGTAGTAGGTAGTGATATCATGGGGCGCACTTCCTCTTTCCCCTCCTCCTGGCCCCTTTCCCCCATGGACCCCTTCCTTGGAGAACAGCTTGTCTAGCCACTTGTGAGAACCCAATGGAACATAAGGATGGCCCCACGGGGAGAAAGTGTATCTCAGGGCTTCTGAGAGGGGAAATGACATGAAATGACACAGTGCCTGTGTCAGTCTTGTCTTGCTTCCTCCATTAAGAGGCAGGAGCCCAAAATTTCTTGTCCTTGAGTCTGTCCATGGTGACCCTCCATCAGGTTTCTGCAGCCCTGAGTGGCGGGTGGATTCAAACCATCAGACTTTGGGTTTGCAGCCCCAGGCGTCAGGCACTGCACCCCCGTGCTCCTTTCGGGAGTGGGAACGAGCACTTGCAAAAGAGTGCCCCCTCCTGGCCGCAGGGAAGCCCAGCGGCACCCCGGGTTTGAACAGAGGGGAGGGTGTCCCCACTCATCTGGCTTCTCTGAGATTTCTTCATCTCTGGCCCCTTCCAGCTGCACTGCCTCTTAGGAAGACACTGCACAGGCTGGAGACTGCAGCAGGACCCCAGCCAAGCCCTGTCCCTGTGTGGGGCCTTGTGTTTCACCACCTATAATTGGGACAAGGTGGTCTTACCTCCTAGACAGGACAGAGAGTCAGGGGCCCAGGAAGGAGTCCTCCAGTGTTGGGTGGGAGGCTGGAGGAAGCACTGGGGCAGAGGAGGGACATGCACTCCCCCAGCCCCAAGCCTCCCTGGGGCCACCTCGATGACCTCTCCCTGCTGGTACCCCAGGGGCCCGGCCTCAGGAGGGGAGTCTGAGGCCAAGGAAGCGTCATCCACCCTTCCCAGGCCAGGACTTCCAGGAAAGCTTAACCTCATCCATGAGGTCTTCTCTGGCCCAGGGACACCCCACCTGACCAGCCAGCTGCCCTCTTCCCCTTTCCCAGGGGCCCTGCCCAGCACCTGCTCCAGATGGCCTCCATCGGCACTGATATACGCATCCCATGATGTCAGAGAGTATCCCTCTTTTTTTTTAAAATACTTTTCAAGAAGAAAAACACCCAAGAAAGGTTTCTAACCCTGGACAGAGAGGTACAGTTGCCTGGGAGGCTGGTAACTGCGCCCCAACTTACGGTCAGAAGAGCAGTGAGGGAGGCAGAGGCTGCAGCCAAGCACAGGATTAAGCAGGGTGGGAAGGAGGAGGGCCAGCACCCTGACTTCAGCATGGGGTGTACGCCTTGCTCACAGAGTGCTGCCGGCGTCTGTGCGCTGGGGGTCTGGCCTTCGTTGGACCAGACTCTGACGCAATGGTGGCCATCTGTGCCTTCTCCAAGCACGCTGTGTCTGCTTTGCTATGCTGGGGGCCCTTGCTGTGGGCCTCCCATTCTGACCTGGTCCTGGAAATGAGTGTCTAGTCTGTGGTTCAGGTGTCTCTGCCCTGGGCCCTCTTCCTTGGTCTGAACTTGGGGGAGACATGTCTCTCAAATTTGGTGGAGACCCCAGTCTTCAAGACTTGCTGGAAGCCACACCCATCTCAGTTTGTCACACTGTTAGCTAGCCAGGCACTGTGATGGTGACGGCTCTCCCTCCAGCACTTAGAAACCAGCAGGGGCACCCACAGTGCACAATTGTTAGCACGGCTTCTACATGGAAACAACCTAGTAGGAAAGGCGGAGAGTTCGAGCATGGAAATGAGCCGCTGAAAACCCCAAGAGTCACAACAGAGCATTGTTCCCAGTTGCTCTGGAAGGTGAACCTCCCCTCATTGGGAGGTCCCCCCTCAGTGGGGGCACCAACAGATCCCCCGTGCCAGCGGTCACAGGGACGGCCCAGGACAGGACTCTGGTGCATTGTTTTGTTTTGTCTCATGTGCTAGAGAAGAATATTGAATATACCATGGACTGCTAGGAGAACAAACAGGTTTGTCCTAGAGAGGGTGAAGCTGGGATGCTCTTTGGAGTCAAGGATTCTGAAGCTTCGTCTGACATACTTTGGGCATGTTGCAAGGAGGGACTGGTCCTTGGAGAAGGACATCATGTTTGGGAGAGTGCAGGGACGGCACAGGACAGGAAGACCCTCGATGAGATGGATTGATTCTGTGATTGGGGTGGCGGGAGTGAGTGTGTCGGAGATGGTGAGGTTGGCACAGGACAGAGCAGTGTTTAGGGCTTTTGTACATAGGTCGCTATGAGTTGCAAGCAACTTGATGGCACACAAGAACATGTGCACTGGAGTCAACTGGACAATGGACCAAAAAGAGCATTACAGTTTTAAAGGAGCGAGGGCCTCTCCTGTGGACAGAAGGGCCTTTAATCATCTCTTAGAAGCCACTTAATTTGGCATCTTCACATCCTGGGATGAGCCTATTCGCTCCAGGGAACCACTTTCCTGAGATCCCCAAGTCCCAAACTTCTGCACAAATATATTGTTGTTATGTACCACCCAGTCAGAACCAACCCACAGCTGACCCTCCAGCAAGTTCTCAGAGGCAGCAAATCACTCCGGAGGAGACAGCCTATCTTTCTTCTGCAGGATTAGAACAGTGTGCCTTTGGGTTGGGAGCGCATCTTCTTACCACTAAGCTAACACATCTTCCTTCTCCACAGATATCTACCCATGAGTGTGTGACCACCAGGAACCCCTGATGGGTGGTCAATTTCTAAAATGAGAACGACTGAACAGCTAGCAAATGAGAGACATGACTGGCCCAGAGACTAGCGAGGGCTTCTGCAATCTGGTCCCCAAAGGGTTTGGAAAAGAATTTTAAGCTCAGGGCTCCAAAAACCATTTGAAAACTCTTCGTATCTGCACATGAATTGCCACTGGCCTCAATGCACAACATCACAAAGCAGTGTCCTCCCCAGGCTCATCAAGGTGAAGAAAGGCTGGTTCTCTCAGATGACAGGCGTTTTTAGGAGAGGAGGGCTCTGCACTTCCTGCTAGAACAGCTGTCTGGGGATCCTGGTCTCCATGGAGACCGCCAGGAGGAGAGACAGTCTGGGTAGTGGACCCATGTCAGTGGCTTTTGCTGCCTGGCATCTCAAGCTGCTTAGAAACTGAAGTGCCAAGTGATTGCTCCCTACCCAGCCAGGGTGTGTGACCGGGAGGCCACCATCAGACATGCCAGCCCTAGGTCTGAAACCAGGAGCCTCAGCTGCAGAGAACAGGATGTTATTATTCACTTCATAACGTGGCGATGGCAGTAGCATCCACTGCCCTGTGTCAAGGCTGTGATTGATGCAAGTGTCACTGTAAACGTTGACAACACAGTCTGAGATGTTCACCAGACCCTTTCTGTGGCTTGATATTGGGGCTTCTTCTGGGTTTGATGCCTTTTATCTGTGGTGGTGGAGAAAAGTACTGAGTGTCTCAAGGATTGACAAAAGAACAAACGTCATGGAGAAAGTGCAGCCAGGATGCTCCTTGGAGGCAAAGACCACAGAGATTC